CCGTGCACCTGCCCTGCGTGGCTGACCTGCCCCCCTTGCCCCTCACCCCTGCCCCGTGCACCTGCCCTGCGTGACTGACCTGCCCCCTTGCCCCTCACCCCTGCCCCGTGCACCTGCCCTGCGTGACCAGCCTGCCCCTGCCGTGCACGCACGCCTGCTCCTGCCCCCCTTTTCTTGCGACAGCCCTGCCTTCTCTTCACTGTGCTTCTCTGGAACCTTCTCAACACCTGCCTCCTGCCCTGCCTGGGTGCCGAAGACATAGGAGGGTTGGACGTGGTCGTGTCTTGGAGGAGCCCCAGGGTGGGTGGGCACGTGTGGCCACCGGGAATGCCCGCACACTAGGGCGGGTTCAGGTGTGACCCGACACTGGGGAGCAAGCCAGCCCTCAGCAGCATGGTGGGGCCGGTGGCCTTTGGGGCAGCTGTGCTAGGTCAGCACGGCTTTCTGTGGCCCAGGACACACCTGTGCAGGTTCCCACCCAGTCGGCCCTGGTTCCTGCGGCCTTTTCCTCCAAAGATCGCCCCCTTCTGCCGCCTCTCCGTCCAGCGCTCTCCCAGCAGTCTCCCTTTGGAGGACGCGCCATGGTTGCTGCCCACATTTGTGTGTGTCTGCTGGAGTGTCTCGCCTCACACCGTTCTCCTCCCCAGGTGTCATCACACGGAGCCTCTGGCATTGCCTGCTAGCGCCCTGTAGGGATGGTGCCTCCCCAGACTTTGTCCTAGTGTCCCGGGTCCCAGCTCGCAAGTTGTTGGGAGGTAGAGACTTCCCGCCCACCGACCTCCCACATGGAGCACCCCGTTCCCAGTGGGGCTCACGGGTGGCCCTGGAGCCCCTGTGGTTGGATGTTGGAACCCTCGCAGGAGAAGTGTCTCAACACCCTTGTGTCGTAGGGTGCTTTTCCTGCAGGGAGCTTTGCAGGTGTCAGAGCTGGGCCCCATCCTGGTGTGCTGGTGTAGCCGGGCTGTTGTGTGTCCGCCAGGTCCTGCCCTGCCCGGCACCTCGGGTCTGCACGTGCTCACCTGAGCTGTGGAAGGGAGGGAGGGCTGTGCAACTCTAGCAGTCAGTTTTCTTTTCCTTTTTTTTGAGTTGGAGTCTCACTCCATCGCCCAGGCTGGAGTGCAGTGGCATGCTCATAGCCACCCCAGCATCAACCTGCTGGGCACCGGTGATCCTTCTGCTAGTGGTCAGTTTTCATCACTCAACTTCTGTTTGGTACTTGGGACCATGAGATTTTATTTCAGGTTTGTTCTTTTATTTTATTTTATTATTATATATATATTTTTTTTTCTTTTTTTTTTTTGAGAAAGCAGGATTTATTAAGAGGACAGAAAAGCTTCCACAGTGGGACGTTGCCCCAGGTTTGTCTGTTTTGCAGTTTTCTGAATGCAGAAAAGAAACAGGATGCCATCCGCATGATGGCAGAGAAGTGTGTCGATGCTGTATACTTTTTCTGCAAGACAGTTGTGTTTTGACGTGTTAAGGAGTTTTAACATTTTTGAAATCATGAGTAGCTGCAGTCAAGTAGCTTACAGGTTTAAGGAACTCATCGGGACACACTGCCTGTCCATGGCTGCCCCTGGGCAACTGCTGCCTGTGCCGCTTTGGACTTGTGTGTTCAGACACACACCCCAGCACATGCGCGTGGTCCTGCAGGCTGTGGTCACCTGGGAGGCGAGGACGAGCTCGCTGTGCCCCTGGAGTGGTCGGGTAGTGGAGAGAGTGGGCTGGCGTTTTCAGTGCAGTTTGGCAAGTGCTGCGTTAGTGGCACGGGCAGGGCTCATTCAAGCAGTATCTTTTGAGCATCTGCCGTGTGCGAGATTGTCCGGGGCATGGAACTTTCTAGAATGCTGAATGACAGAGGGGCCATTTGTGTGACCGAGGAGCATCAGGAGAGGCAGAGGTGTCAAGGGAGGGCGCGGAGGGCACTGGCGGCAGGGGGTCAAACACAGAGGCAGGTGTCACATGGCCTGTCTGAGGTGCCAGGTGGAGGGAGGTGGGATGCAGCTGACCCCTGTGGGACCATCCTGTGTGCAGACCTTGCCGGAAGGACCTGTTCACGCCCCAAGGGGCTGTGTTCTTGTAGGAGTGGGCTGGGGTGGCTCCATGGCACTCAGGCAGGTTGGACGCACTGTTTGGGTGGAAGGGGGTGGAGACCGAGCGCAGCGGCAGTGACTATGGTCACCTGATGGTGACGGTGGTGGCCTGACTCTGGCAGTGGAGGGGCCCAGGGGGAGGAGTGACAGGAATCAAACTTGTTCTGCGTTGTCCTGTGAGAGGGTCCAGGAGGGCCTCTCTGCGGGGAAGCCAAGAGCGCCGTGGTGCAGGGCACGTGTGGCCTGTGGGCTGGCAGCTCTTCGAGGGAGAGAGGAGCCCGTGGTGGTTTGGCAGAGCTGTGACTGGCTCGGGCGTGTGGGGGTGGCTTGTTGTGAGTGGTTTTTATTGCACTTTACTGGGGAAGGATAGGTGTCCTCTTTTCCCTGGAAGAACCAGAGGACATGGCCGTGGACGAGGACCGTTGATGCAGCCTTTCTTATAAAAGCGCGATACTTTCCCCTGGAAGGAGCGGGCGCCCGAAGGGACTTGCTTTGCTGGAGGCACCGGCGATGCCACTGCTCTGCTAGATGAGTGCCTGCTAAAGGAGCCTTCTTCTGTTGCAGAGGTGACCACGGTGACGGTGGCCAACGTGGGGGCCTCTGCGGACAACGTCTTCACGACGTCAGTAGCCAATGCGGCATCCATCTCAGGACACGTCCTGGTAAGTGGCTCCGCGGGTGGGGCTGGCATGGGTTCCTGGGGCATTGGTGTCTGCTGGGAGGGGGCACCCAGCCCGGCTCTGATCTCAGGAGCCTGGCTGTGCTGAGCTGAGAAACAACAGTGGGGGTGGAGCTGCCCCTGGGACCAGGCTCGGGTTCCGTGGGCCGAGGGGTCTTCACTCGCTTGGCTCCTGTGGCCAGGACAGGGCAGAGCCGACATGGCTTCTGTGAAGTGACGGAAGCAAGGGAGGGCCGGAAAGGGCCTCCCCAGCCATGCGGTTGGCAACCCCTCTCCAGTGCCTCGCGCTGCCTCGGGCTGGGACCTTGGCTTCTGAGCGGCATGGCTGCTCCGGGCCCACAGCCCAGCCTGCGCCCCTGCTCGGCGGCCTCAGAACGGCCGAGGGGACTTCTTGTCTGCCACCCACGCTTTTTTCCCGTGGCAGCTACAGCTTAGTCTTATGTGTGGGCACAGCCTGCCTTGCCATCGCCTTCTTAAGAAAGCTGCTGAAGTGGGTGTGGGGGCTCAGGCCTGTGATCCCATCTCTCTGGGAGGTGGAGGCAAGGGGATGGCTTGAGCTCGGGGGTTCAACACCAGCCGGGCAACTTGGTGAGACCTGTCTCTACGATAAATCAAAAAATTAGTCAGGTTTGGTGGCACGCACCTGTAATCCCAGCACTTTGGGCTTAGGGCTTCGAGACCAGCCTGGGCATCATGGCAAGACCTCATCTCTACAATAAACCAAAAAATTAGGCCAGGCATGGTGGCTCAAGCCTGTAATCCCAGCACTTTGGGAAGCCAAGGGGAGAGGATGGCCTGAGCTCCGGGGTTCAAGATCAGTCTGGGAAACTTGGTAAGACTTTGTCTCTACAATTTATCAAAAAATTAGTCGGGTGTGGCAGGGCATACCTGTAGTTCCAGCTACTTGAAAAACTGAGGTGGAAGAGTTGCCTGAGCCCAGCAGTCGAGGTTGCGGTGGCCATGAGTGTGCCACAGCCTGGGTAACAGAATGAGACTCAAAAAAAAAAAAAAAAACGATGAAGAGAAAAAGCTGCCAAAAACTGGTGCGTTCGCACCCCATTCTGAGCCCTCTCATCCTTGCGTTGTGCCAGCCTGTTTTATACCTTTGGTGATTCTGGGGACATCTGGTTAGCAGGACAGCAGCCTTGGTTCCAGGTGGCAGGTAGGGAGTGAAAGGGGACGTCCCTGGGGCCCCGGTGGCTCCTTGGCTGCAGCAGTCTCTCCAGCCAGGAGCGCACGTGGGGTCGCCCTGTGCATGTGCTACAAGCGGAGTCATCACCACTAGGATGGAGCCAGGATGCTCGCTCATGCTTGTGTGGCAGTGTGGCCAGGTGGGGACGGGAGTCACTTGGTCAGCTTCCGGCTTGTGGCTGTGCCGGTGAACTGGAATTCGCTCTTAGGACCCGTGACCTCGCTGAAGAGGCGGGGGTAGAAGGCGGGTGTCTCCTGCTGGTGGGGCTCGCTTGTGGGCACATGTCTGCTCCCGCGCTGACAGATGACCGTGAGCATTTTGCTCGGAGCCACACAGATGCGGGCATGACCTTCGCTGGTTCTTAGCCCTGTCTTTAAGTCTGTTGGAGACGTCTTTGGGAAAGACATGGGAGGCCTGGGCGTCCCTCCTGGCGATAACGGCCAGAGCCTGGCTGGAGGGCACAGCCGGCTGGGCTGGCAGGCTCGCCCAGGACTGTGTGCGGAGGTGGCCCCACGGAGCCGTTCTTTCCTCTAGTCGGGGAGGACAGCGCTCCAGATCGGCGACAGCCTGAACGCTGAGAAAGCCACGCTGATTGTCGTCCACACGGACGGGAGCATCGTGGAGACCACCGGGCTGAAGGGCCCCGCGGCTCCCCTCACGCCAGGTATGGTGGTGCCTGCACCCCGGGCCTCGGGGCTCAGCGTGTGCGAGGGCATCTGGAGCGAGTTCTGGGCATCGATGCGTTCGCGTGTGCGGTCAGTGCAGGACATCGAACGTCACGGGGTCTGGGAGCGCTTTTCAGGCTGAGAAGAGCTGTTCCAGCCCGAGCGAGCCCGGAGCGGCCCCCTGGAGCCGAGCTGCCCTGGAGCCCCCCCTCACCTCACAGGCGCTCTCTTTACCACAGGCCCTCAGTCTCCCCCGACACCCCTGGCTCCCGGCCAGGACAAAGGGGGGACCAAGTACAACTGGGACCCCTCCGTGTACGACAGCGAACTGCCCGTGCGCTGCAGGAACATCAGCGGCACCCTGCACAAGAGCCGGCTCGGCTCAGGTGAGGCTGTGACTGGAGTGGGGGGCGCTGCTCCTTCTGTGGCCCCCGCAGTCGGTGGGGACCGGAAGGCGGTGGTGGTGGCCCACGGGGCGGGGTAGGATGACAGAGGCGCAGGACGCCCCAGCTCCTGTGACCTAGGGCTGAGGCCTGGGGAGACGGCCCTCTGAGAATGGTTTAGGGGCAAACTGAGGCACCGTCGTGACCCTTGGGGTAAGAGAGGAAGCAGGAGAGAGGCAGAGCGGGGACGGGACACCTTCCTCAAGCAGCCAGACATGTCCCTCAGATGCTCAGTGTGGGGCTCGAACTTGCAGGGAGGCCCCGGGGCGGCCAGAGGGTTCGCCGCGGAGCCCGTAGGGGCTGATGCACAGGCGGGCGCGGGGCTCTGGAGTTTGTGGAGGAGCTCAGAGGGAGAGGGAGGGAGGAGGCGAGCCCAGTGCCTGCGAGCTGGGCATGTGGTGCTCTCGCCGTGCTCGTCTGTCCCGTTCCAGGCGGCCGGGGCCGGTGCATCAAGCAGGGCGAGAACTGGTACAGTCCCACCGAGTTTGAAGCCATGGCGGGAAGAGCCAGCAGCAAAGACTGGAAAAGAAGCATCCGCTACGCGGGCCGGCCCTTGCAGTGCCTCATCCAGGTACCGTCCCGCGCAGCCGGCCCGTACCAGCGAGCCCCTGCCACCGCAGCCGGATCCGGTCCCAGGAGGCTTGGGCCCTGGGCGCCCTGAGGTGGCCCAGCCCAGGGGAGGGGCACAGACTGGCTGGCTCGAGTCCTCTGCTCCACTGGTGGCCTCGGGCAAGTCACTTGCCCTCTCTGTCTTTGTGTTTCTTGATGTTTCTCGTGGGGATGGAAATGACGTTGGCCCTGTGGAGCTGTGAGAAGCGCCCTAGGTCACAGTGCTTGGCACAGAGTAAGGGACTGTCAAGCACATAAAGAGCAAAATAAGAAGGGACTGTTAAATACATAAAAGGTAAGCCAAGCTCGGTGGCTCAACCTGTAATCCCGCGCCTTGGGAGGCTGAGGTGAATGGATTGCCTGAGCCCACGGGTTCGAGACCTGCCGGGCAAGTTGGCGAGACCTCATCTCTACAATAAATCAAAAAATGAGCCGGGCATGGTAGCGCACGCCTGTAGTTCCAGCTACTTGGAAGGCCGAGGCGGAAGGCTCGCCGGAGCCCTGAGCCTGGGAGTTTGAGACTGCCGTAAGAGGACTTCTGGTTCCCACGCCAGCTTAGCTTCTTGGGCATGGAGGAAGTCATCCCTGTGGAGTCTTCTGCTTCCCAGAAGGAGCGAGGACAGCCCCGCCGGCAGTGATGGCATTGTGAAGCGGAGAAGGCTCTGGGAACTGCTGTGTCTAATTTCTCAGAGTTCTCGTCTTTAGGAATGGCGGGCAAAACGAGCTGGAACCCGGCGTCGCATGGCCTGCAGGCAGGCGCCGACGCTACCTTTCGTTTTAGGATGGGATTCTGAACCCCCACGCAGCCTCCTGCACCTGCGCGGCCTGCTGCGATGACATGACCCTGGTGAGTCACCAGAGTCCCAAGTGAGTGCGGGGCAGCTGGGCGGGCAGGGGGCGGGCGGCCAAGGGATATGCTCACGGCCACAGCAGCCTCCCTGCCTCCGGGCTTTTCCCTTGTGCTCTGACTTGGGGGGAGACACTGTCCTCACTTCTCTCTGGAGCTGCTCTGTCCCCTGTGTCCTTGCTGTCACCATGGTTTCCAATGTTTCCACCAGGACATGGTTGATTTCCAGTGGTTGCTCAAAGGGAACTTCCCTAAATCGCAAAAAGCTCTTTATAATGTTACCACCTTAGCTCTAAAACCAAACATATGGCTGGGCTCGGTGGCTCAGCCTGTCATTCCAGCACTTTGGGAGGCCGAGGCAAATGGATTGCCTGAGGCTTCGGTTCGAGACCAGCCCGGGCAAGTTCGCGAGACCACGTCTCTACAATAAATAAAAAATTATCTGGGTGTGGTAGCACGCGCCTGTAGTTCCTGCTACTTGGAGGACTGAGGTGGAAGGATCTCTGGAACCTAGCAGGTCAACTCTGGGGTGGCCATGAGCATGCCACTGCACTCCAGCCTGGATGATGGAGTGAGACTCTGACTCAAAAAAAAAAAAAAAAAAAAGAAGAGTAAAAAAGAAACTTTAACTGGAGATACTTACCAGGTTCTTGGAGTGAAAAATTAAATATTCTAAAGTTGTCTAGTTCATATATAAAATTAATGTGATTCTAGTGGAAAAACCAATTTTGTGAAAGTAAAATAATTTCTAAGTTCATTTGGAAAAGCCAGTAGGTGGGACTCTTGCAGGGCAGGAAGAAGGCATCAGTCCCGTGAGGAAGTTGAGTTTGCACAGTGGACCATTTGCAGTTGCTACAAGTCACTGAAGTACTTAGGTTTAAATCTAGGGAAACATACAGGATTTATATGTGGAAATTAGAAAGTGCTGATGAAAGAGACTAGAGAAAGCTTAAACACTTCAGGAGATGTACTATGTCCATGGAGTCAGAGTCTCACTCTGTCGCCCAGACTGGAGTGCGGTGGCATGCTCACAGCCATGGCAGCCTTGACCTGCTGGGCTTAGGTGATCGTTCCACCTCAGCCTTCCAAGTAACTGGAACCACAGCTGTGTGCCACCATGCCCAGCAAACTTTTTTCTTTTTTTTTTTTGAGTTGGAGTCTCACTCTGTCACCCAGACTGGAGTGCAGTGGCCGCTCCCAGCCACCGCAGCCTCGACCTGCTGGGCTCCGGCAATCCTTCCGCCTTC